GAGAGAGAGCCAGGTTTCCAGTTCAGCCAGACCTACGCCCTGCATTTCTCAGGGGTCTTCACTTTCTTTTCATTCGGCCCCTCCATTGTTCCCGCTTCCTCCCGTTTCTCCCCTTCCCGACGGGCCGTCCTCAGGTGAAGCCGGCTTCTCACTGCGCTCAGTGCATTGTGTCTATACTCAATGGGATCACTGTGGAGACAGCACAGCCCTGTTTCCAGCCTGCAGGCCGCACCGGTTTGTCCTCCAAGTTTCACGATATAGGTCAGACACAGACCTGAGGAGGTTGATGTCACTGTATGCGTACTGTATAGCAGTGGAGATGTTACACAACAGTTTTACAACATAATACTGGAGACTCAAGGTCAAACCATTGCTCTTTTTTATAGCTAATCCTTTTTTTATGATTGTTTCTAATTTTCATTGTTTTATTAGCTCTACTGTTCAGAGTATTTTGATGTTCACCACTATTAAAGCATCTCTAGGGTGTATATTTGGTAAAGCTAAAAACAAACTAGGTTTAAATGCACTCACCTCAGTGCACTCAAATATTTGGTTGGATTGTAAAAACAATCTTTAACGGGTATTTCCGTGCCTCTGATCAAAATTAATTTCTTCTTTGGAAAATAAAGTTTGCATTAAGATTTAAAGGACAGTAGATATTTATTTAGTTTCACAGTTGCAGAAATAAATCAAGTGTCAGCTTACAGCTGCTGTTTGCAAACCTGTGACGCTGCAGACAATGAGCTGCATTTAACATTTTAACGCCAACTAGTTTACTTTATGTGCACCACAGTTATTTTTTCTCTCCCCTCAAGGTGTCAAGTTGCGTCCTCCTATTTGTTGCTGTGTGATTGGACACACGAACAGTGGCTCCACCCCCAACAAAGAGAGTCTTGTCTCTGCAGCCAGACTCACCTGTGAAATCTGGTCCAGCAACAACAGACACTCACACCATCACGGTCGGAAACCTGACTGAGCAGCACAAGAGAAGACCTACTGCAGAACTGAGCTCAATGTATGTACTATATTTTGTTCCTTTTCCTTTGTTCTTACTCATCAAAAAGCCACTTAATGAGTGACAAAGGTTTTTTAATTTCAAACAGGAGGAAGCAGATTTAAATCTCACACTCTGAAACAGAAACTGTAAGTCATTGTTGGAGGGGTGCTTTGAAATCTAGTAGATCCTCCATATTGTTTTGTGTTTTTTAATAATTTACTAATTAGAACAGAACCAGAACCATGTTTAATAATATTTAGCCCATGTAGTAGCCATCATCAATCCACACACTCTCAAACACTCTCACCACATTGTCCATTTAGTAGCTGCCCTGAGAAATGGATGGATTACTCAGTGGGAGTACCAAGCCACTGCTTTAAGTGACTGTAAACATTTTTTTGTTGGAAATTAAATCAAACCCCTGCAAAGAGACTTAAAACAACTACAGAGACATACAATTACTTAAGAGAAGTGTAAAATTACTACAAAAAAGCAAAATATCCACAAAGTGCTAAAAAAGTGACACAAAATATGAATAACTTTCAAGTTCATTGGAAGTTTATTCTTGACCGTTGTTTCCAAGGTCAGGAACAAACTTTAAATATCATTAATCAATCAATTGCATGCTTAAATGTGTGTGATTTTGTGTTGCACATTCACAAAAATGTTCTCCTCCACCTTCTCTGTAATTGTAGATAAGGAGACTTGTAGCTTCATAAGAGCACTGATAAACTTTCATATGAATCTTCTGCAGTGGACACCATGGCCTCCACCCTCTCTGTGCGCAGCTACTCGATGCGTCAGCCATCCTTCTCTAGCATGTCTGTTAGGGACAGCGGACGCAGCATCCGCTCCAAGCCTCCCGTGTCCATCAGTACACTGTCTCTCTCCCGCTCCGTCTCAATGGGCAATGGCCTCAACATGCTGAGCTCCAGCCTCTCCTTCAACGGTCTTGGTGTCTCTGCCAGCGAGAAGGAAACCATGCAGGGTCTGAATGACCGGCTGGCCAACTACCTGGATAAGGTGCGGTCTCTGGAGAGGTCCAACGCTGAACTGGAGGTGAAGATCAAGCAGCTCATGCTGGACAGGGCTCCAAAGGGGCATGACATCGAGGGGATGATGGCCCAGGCACATGCCATAGGGCAGGAGGTCAGTAACCAGTGGATCAGATTTACTAATTCAATTTCACAGAGCCTTTCTCTCAGGGAGCATTTGATTACAGCCCAGTGACTAATATCTCTGAGTCACGTAGTGACGTAATTCCGTTAAACCAGTTAAACCTTCTTGTTCACATGTTGAATATTACCTGCTTAAGAGCTAACACTGAAACATCTTAATTGTGCTTAAAGGTACTTCAAGGAGTTTTTAACTGGTTATGAAACAGTCTCAATTTAATACTGATGCCTCTTTA